GTGGATTTCCCACCTGATAGGGTAGGAAGGGCGCTGACCATGGCGTCAGATTGCTTGTGTTTGAATCTTGATTCTGCTGCTATCTGAGGCAATCTAGCCTGGGCAGTGTGCTGCAGGGCAAACCTGGACTTGGAACCACACAGGCCTGGGCTTGCATCCTGGCTTTGCCACTTATTACGATTAACTGTAACCTTGGGCAAATCGCAATTTGTTTATTTTTAAAATGGGAATATGAATCCTTACTCTCAGAGGTGTTTGTGAGGATGAAATGAGATGGGCTGGTAAAGTGCTTAGCACAGAGTGGAATCTGTTAAGTCTGCATTATTATCGGCACCATTGCAAACACTGTGCTGATTCTGGACCTGGAGACCCCTTTGCCTTAGTTGAATCAATACATTTCCACTGCCTCTCCGGAGAGCTTTCCCGGTGGGGCTTCAGGTGCCACGGTAGAGCAGCTACACTGCAAACCATCACCTGCAGTTGTCACTATCTGCCCCGCTGGTACTGGATTTGGGGCTCCGATCTAAACCTCCGTTTTCTCCCCTAATGATCTTCCACTAACAGGGCCCACACAGCCTGTCTGCCTGGCTGTTTCCGCCATTCTGGAGAAAAATGCCTCAGCCTTTGAGGTAAACCTCCCACCCCATGTCCCTCTGGAGTAAATTTTGTGCACACAGAAGTCTGTTTTCAGGGAGACCTTTCTGTATATCCCCCTCCCCATGTCTGGTGAACATCTGTCCAGCTGTCTTGGCTGCGCTCCACTCTGTCCTTTGGGTAGCAGTGCTCCACTCTGTCCCTTGGGTGGCAGGGCTCCACTCTGTCCCTTGGGTAGCAGTGCTCCACTCTGTCCCTTGGGTGGCAGGGCTCCACTCTGTCCCTTGGGTGGCAGTGCTCCACCCTGTCCCTTGGGTGGCAGTGCTCCACTCTGTCCCTTGGAAGGTTTTCCTTTTGAGTCTTGTCAGTGTGGAAGCTGGAGCAGAGGCCCCTCCAGGGCTGCACTCAGTTAGCTCCCTGTGCTGGCCTGCAAGGGGACTCCTACTAGGAGTGGTCAGGGATGCTTGGAGGCGCCACCCTGGCTGCTCTGAGGCGGCCTTGTGAGTTGCTCATGGATGGGGAGGGCCTGTTGCCTGCCAGGCCAGAGAGTGTGCCCTCAGGCCGTGTCTTTCCTGGGCTTTGCTGATGCAATCTCTTTGGTGTCCTGTCCCGCCTCCAAGGGCCCAGGGCCAGAACATCTGCCTCTTGGGCAGGGACTGGTTCCACCCCTACGGGCTCCACAAAGGGGCTCTGACAGACCCTGGCTCCCATGAGGGGCGCACAGCCCCCAGCGCCTGGCCAGCTGCTGCCCTCAGTGGGGAGGGAGGTCTTGGTGTGCTCTGAGCCTGCCTTGTTTTCCCTGTGGGAGCCGAGTGGCGTGGTTGGGGGGGGTGGGGAGGTGGGTTCCCAGCAGGGGTGGCTGGAGCCCCTCTAGTCCTGAGATGGCAGCTGTTGAGCCTCCTCCCTCCTTTCTGGACAGGTTCTAGCCAGAGCCCTCCTGGAGCCTTTCTTTGCCTGCTGGAAAGAGGTTCAACAATTTCTTGGGCAAAGTCCACTTAAAAGACACGTTATAACATTTCCCTTTCCCCCACTGGTAGTGCTGTGCACTTAACAGAGAAAGATTAGAAAATATAATAAGCCTTAAGACAAAAAAATTCACCCATCAGCCAGTATCCAGAGGGCATTTCTATTTGGGTGAGAGACACAAATACTTCCAATAAGTTTTTCTATGTATACATTCTCACGTATCTTAATGTATATGTATGTATGTGTGTTTTATGTAAAAGTAATATAAATTCAGTGGAGCACAGCAGGTCAGGAAGCACATTAACACATACCTGGCATACCTCTCAGGGAGCTACAGCAGGTTCTGGTTACATTGACTGCCTGGGGGCAGAACAGGGGGCTGGGCTCCCTGTATTGCTCTTTGTACTCTTTGAATTTTGAGCCCCGAGAATGTGGCATCTATTMAAAAATGATACAACTCATAAAAGAATACACGAAATAAAAAGAAGCCCTCCTTAACCGACTCCCTCCATTCCACTCCTCAGCTAAACCCAGGATTAGCAGTTTGCTTAGGATCTTTCTAGCTCTTCCTCTCTATTCAGACAATGCACATTTCTCTTTTGTTTTGTTTTTTAAATCAAGATGGGATTATATTGCATATACTTTCTGTAACATACAGCATCATGTAGCATGGATATGAACTTTTTCTTTTAATGCTGGGTGTTTTGGGGTTTTGTTCTGCCTATGTGCTTATTATAAAAAGCAAAGATCACAGAATCAAATAAACTTAGGAAGGAAAGAAAGTCTAAAACAGCACCATCTATTTTAGTGCTTTAAACACAGAGCCAAAGGTCTCAAAGGAGCTCCCCAAGACCAGCCAGCAGGGGCCCTCAGGGAGGGGAGGCGTGCTGGGGGGTGTGAAAAGGGGCGCTGTGGCTTTATCTGCTTGGCATACATTTCTTACAGTGATGTATTTTTGTATATTAATTGATTTTGTTAAAAATAACATATTTTTTTAAAGGAAAAAAAAAATCCAGAAGACTGTTCTCCATCCTAAGGTCTGACCCAGAACCCCCACCCTCCCATGCTATACAGGTCTCCCTCTGAGCAACCTCTCTAGGACCCCCGACCTGGTACCTGGCTCTTGTGGAAGGATTTGTTTTGTGGCTGCCAACCCCGACCCCTCTTTTTCTCCTTTCTGAAAGGTCCAGGCCAACTCTTCTCACGCTGGCCCCTGCTCTTGGTACCAGTCTGCATCTGAAGATCAGCCTCTGACTTCCTGCCTCATCTGCATGCCAAAGTGTCTCTAGGATCTGATTGGTTTTAAGATAGACTTAACAGCCTCTCCAGAGCTCCTCTCCCTGCGCCTCCTGCGCTTCAGAATCACCTGGAAAGTTATTTAAAACAACTTTTAAATATGCCTGAGACTTAACCCCAGACCAATTTTATCAGAATCTTTGGGGGTGGCATCTAGGGCATCAGTATTTGTCTGTAAGTCCCCTAGATGGTCCTGATGTGTCCCCAGCCACTGTGTTAGCGCCACCCTGGCCCTCATTAAAGACACATTTTCTCTTTGGAAATTGATCAAGAGCTATGCCAAGTATTGATCCCTGGTTGGATATGGATTTGCTGTGAGACCTGGGACAAGTCCCTGCCCCCTCTCACTTTCAGTAAAATGGGGTAGAGTCAAGTATACTAATTTTGGGTTAGCCCAGTGACTCTCATATTCAGAGATGAGGTGTGAGAGGTAAGGGTGTGCATGTATCCAAATCACCTGGGAGCATTTTCAGAAACCCAGTATACCAGCCGGGCTGGAAAAGTCCAAAACAACTGAAGTGTGGTTTCAAACACCGCCAGCATGAATCACCCTTCTCTTGGGAGGAAGTGTTCAGTGGAAGCATGCATCTCATTGAATGGCTTTTTTTAAACAGTGAGGAACTTCAGTAATGAGGATCGTAGCATTTCCTCAAATTCTACTCTATAGAGCTTGTGCCCTGTGCAATCTTGCCAGCAATAGATGAGCATTCCTTTTTCATCACAGCCTCACCAATAGAAATGTATTCTCAGGTGGTCTGGATTTGGGCCAGTCTGATAGGTGAGAAATGCACCTTGTGTGTTTTTATTTGCATTTCTCCATCATGGGTGGGGATGAGCATTTTCACATGTTTGACATCCATTTGGTTTTCTTTTCCTGTGAGCCCTTGCTCATATGTCCAACACATTTTCCTGTAAGTTTCTTGGTCTTTTCCTTTCTTTCTTTCTTTTTTTTTTTTTTTTTTTTTTGTGATGCTGGGGATTGAACCCAGGGCCTTGTGCATGTGAGGCAAGCACTCTACCAACTGAGCTATATCCCCAGCCTGGTTTGTTGGTCTTTTGTTCACTGTTTATGGAACTCATATTTAGGGTGTCAGCCCTTTATTGGTGTCATCAACTGCAAATCTTTATTTTCAGTTGGTCATTTATATTTCACTTTGCTTACTTTGTTTTTTTTTTTTCCATGTAGAATTTGCTTATATAGGCAAGTATACCAATTTTCCCCCCMAAAAAATGCTCTTGGAGTTTTGAATCCTTATTATCATTCTCTCATGATAATTTCCAAGTCTCCTTTGTGATTTTTAATTTTTCACCCGTATTCATTTAATTTATTAGTGTTCATTCTGAATTCAAACTCCCACAAGATGTCAGTTCCATGAAGATGGGATTCCCTGTGGGGTGGAGATGGGCATGCAGAGGTTTAGGGACGAGTCCTTGGCTATACCAGCAGGAGTGAGGCAGACGTAGAAGTTGACTCACAGCCTCAGCCCGCCCCATGGGATGCTCTGGAGGTTGCATGGCCCTTTGGAGTTGAGGCAAGGGGCATGGACCAGTCTTTGGATGTGGGCTTCAGTTAGGGAGGGCACATGACCTTGGACAAGGTGGCTCTCAGTAGTCATAGCTGGTAGGGACCATCAACTTAGATGTCTTATCTGGGAGAATGAATGTCTCTGTCCTAAAGTGGGGGGTCTGGGCAGGCCACCACAGCATCTTCCCTGTTCCTTATCTGTCTCGTTCACTGCTGTGTCCTCTAATTGTGTTTGGCACATGGTAGGTGCTTCTAACTGGGCCTGGCATACGACAGGGGCTTAGGAAATGTCTGATGAATGAGCAAAAGACAAGAACAGAAACTCAGATTTCCAGGTCTTGGGCCAGGCTAACTGGATCACAATGTCGGGGTAGCAGAGGGGAGGGAGCCCTGGCAAGTGTGTTCAGAGTCATCTCCTTGAGTATATCTGGTCTATCTGTCATTTATAGCCTACTGGATGGTCTTGAGGACCCCTCTGGCTCAGCAGCAGGTGCAGGTCAAGGCCTGGATGTGACTGGGCTAGGGTGGGGCCCTTAATGTGATCCCTGGCCTTGTGACTGCTCTTTGAATTTACATCACCTATGGGGGGTGTTAGTTCTTACTTTTTCTCTCTTTCCAGCATTCCTTGAAGAAAAGAGGAACCCGCTCCCTGGGGAAGACAGACAAGAAGCCTTCGGCTCAGGTACTGCCGGCAGCTCCCACAGGCAGATTGTAGTCAGAAGGTGTGAGCCTAACTGGAGAGGCCTGGGGAGTCTCTGAGGTGCCCAGCCCTCTCCACCTTCTACCCCGTGCTACCCTTGTTTGTTTTCTTGGCCTCACGGCCCACCTTACTTCCCAAGACCACACTCCCAGCCCATGGTTCTTACATGCTCAGACTCCCCCAGGCCCAGCAGACTGAGTCACCCAATAGTGAGTGCAGTGACCAGATCCAAAGGTCTAGAACCAAAGGCCTTCAACCTTGACTCTGCCACTTGATTCCTATGTTGTCAGGGTGATTGCTTCAACTTTCTGGCCTCCATTTTCTCATCTGTCCCTATCTGTGGGTTAGTTGTATGACTTAAAGTGCTCTTTGTTGTGCAGGCCAGGCACAGAAAGAATTCTGTTAGCTGCTAGTGGTACTGGATTGCCAGGATCACATATTATCATCTAATCCTCTCCATGGCTGCAGGAGGAGGGGAGTGGGACTGCCCCATTTTTACACATGGGGAAACTAGTAGGAATGGTGTCAGAATGTCACCTGCTCCCAGACTCCCAGACTGGGTGATGTTCCATTCTTGCTGCAACATCAATGTCTCCTCTCTGCTTCCCCTGACCCCCCAGCTCCTTCTCTCTCAGGCTGTGTCTGATCCATTCCCAGCACATACTCAGTGCTCCCCCAAATGCGGTGGCTAGTACAATCAATTGGTACCAGCCCATTGATTGAGTAGAACACAAATCACTCATTTACTAAGGATAGTAATTAGCCAACACTAATTTTCCTGGGTCATGTCTGTCCCCGTGCCCATCCGGTCCCAGGAGGACAGCGCAGATCTGAAGTGTCAGCTGCACTTTGCGAAGGAAGAGTCGGCCCTCATGTGCAAGAAGCTCACCAAGCTCGCCAAGGAGAACGACAGCATGAAGGAGGAGCTGCTCAAGTACCGCTCCCTCTATGGGGACCTGGACGCTGCCCTGTCGGCTGAGGAGCTGGCGGATGCTCCGCACTCGCGGGAGACCGAGTTGAAGGTGCACCTGAAACTGGTGGAGGAGGAGGCCAACCTGCTGAGTCGCCGCATCGTGGAGCTGGAGGTGGAGAACCGGGGCCTGCGGGCCGAGATGGACGACATGAAGGATCACAGTGGCGGCTGCGGGGGGCCGGAGGCTCGGCTGGCCTTCTCTGCCCTGGGCGGCAGCGAGTGCGGGGAGAGCCTGGCAGAGCTGCGGCGACATCTGCAGTTTGTGGAGGAGGAGGCGGAACTGTTGCGGCGCTCCTCGGCAGAGCTCGAGGACCAGAACAAGCTGCTGCTGAGCGAGCTGGCCAAGTACCGCTCGGAGCACGAGCTGGACGTGACGCTGTCGGAGGACAGCTGCTCGGTGCTGAGCGAGCCCTCGCAGGAGGAGCTGGCGGCCGCCAAGCTGCAGATCGGCGAGCTCAGCGGCAAGGTCAAGAAGCTGCAGTATGAGAACCGCGTGCTCCTTTCCAACCTCCAGCGCTGCGATCTCGCCTCCTGCCAGAGCACGCGGCCCATGCTGGAGACGGACGCCGAGGCGGGGGACTCTGCGCAGTGTGTGCCCGCTCCCCTGGGCGAGGCGCACGAGCCCCAAGCAGCCCGACTCTGCAGAGCCCGGGAGGCCGAGGCGCTGCCTGGGCTGAGGGAGCAGGCGGTCCTGGTCAGTAAAGCCATCGACGTCCTGGTGGCCGATGCCAATGGCTTCTCTGCGGGCCTTCGGCTCTGTCTGGACAACGAATGTGCTGACTTCAGGTTGCACGAGGCCCCGGATAACAGCGAGGGCCCCAGGGACGCCAAGCTCATGCACGCCATCCTGGTGCGGCTGAGCGTGCTGCAGCAGGAGCTCAACGCCTTCACGCGGAAGGCAGACGCCGTCCTCGGGGGCYCTGGCAAGGAGCAGCCAGAGCCCTTCTCTCCGCTGCCCACCCTGGGCTCCCAGGGACCCTCCAAGGAGATCATTCTGGCCAAAGACCTTGCCTCGGACTTTCAGGTAAGATGTCCAATCACAGGTTCCTGTCGCTCTTATTTCATAGAAGTTTTGTACTGAATCATAACACGAGAGAAGGGTACAGAATTAAGCGCAGCATCTTTATGAACTTTCCACAGTGAACACTTATATGATCACCTTCTTGAGTGTGACCAGCTCCCCAGTAGCCCCTTCTCACCCCCTCTAGTCACTGCCCCTGCTCTTTTTGTGTGTGTGTGGCACTGGTAATTGAACCCAGGGCTTCATGCACACTAGGCAGAGTGCTGTACCACTGAGCTACAGTCCCAGGCACTAGGCCAACCCCTCTCTTGATTTAGGTTTGTCCTTGAACTGTGTATAAATTCAATCACACAATACAAACTCACCTGTGCCTGGCTTCTTTCCCTCCACATTGTTGCCTGGAGGAAACTTGTATTTATTTTTATTACTAAATATAAGCCCATTGATTGAGTAGAACATAAATCATTCATTTACTAAGGATAGAAATTGATTTTTTTTCTGGTTGCCTTTTCTTATTTCTTTAKTAATTTTGTGTTTTAAACCAAGTATTGTTATTTTTTTAAAGTCTTTGACCAGTTCGCATGCAAAGGCAAGAAACTTAGTTTTCTAACAGTGACTAGCTTCCAGCCTTCATGTCCATAAGATACTACTTAGAAAAATTAAAATAGCAAGGGCATTTTGTCCAAATAAACAAACAAACAAAAAAGCATTATTGCAAAAGTAATACATAAACATTCAAAGAGTTTCAGAAGCATCAGAGATGAAAAGATAGAAACCTCTTCCCACTTCCTACCGAGACCACTGTTAAAGGTCCAGAGGGGTGCTGTCCAGTATGGTAGCCTCTGCCACACTTGGCTGGGGTTGTGGCTCAGTGGTAGAACACTTTCCTAGCATGTTTGAGGCCCTGGGTTCACTCCAGCATTCCAAAACAAAAAATAAACAAACAACAACAAAAAAAAAAAAAAAAAGAAGAAGAAGAAGAGAAAGAAAAGAAAGACAGTGAATGTGAATGTGAAATTACAAACTGAGAAGGGGAATCTGAAGGGAAGGTCGAGGAACTTGACCTAGACCCTCAGGGCTTCTCAGACCAGAGCTGGTATGTCCTGGTATAAGAAATTGAGCAAAGAGGAATGGGGCTGGACTGCAGAGGGTGTTGGTCGGTGAGATCACATCCTGAGAGCCCTGCAGGGGTCTTTTCTTGTCATGCAGAGAGATTCAGTTCTTTCTGGTATCTTTTTTTTTTTTTCCCTTTGTTACTAAGGATTGAATTCAGTAGCACTTGACCACTGAGCCACATCCCCATCCCTTTTTTGTATTTCATTTAGAGACAGGGGCTCACTGAGTTGCTTAGCACCTCGCCATTGCTGAGGCAGGAAGATTGCGAATTCAAAGCCAGCCTTTGAACGAGATCCTCCTGCCTCAGCCTGTGGGTAGCCATAGCCTCTTCTGGAGCCCAGAGCCCTGGGGTGGAGCCGTTTCTGGCACCCCGTGGGTTTCTCCCCATGGTTGTCTTTGTTCTCTTCTGCCTGTGCCTCTGGTGCAGCCGTCTGACTTCAGGGATCTGCCAGAATGGGAGCCCAGGATCCGAGAGGCCTTCCGCACGGGTGACCTGGACTCCAAACCTGATCCCAGGAGCTTCAGGCCTTATCGAGCTGAAGACAATGATTCCTATGCCTCTGAGGTGGGTCTAGGCCTGGTGGAGCGGGAGGCCGGGTGCGAGGAGGTGGCTGGGGCCTCCCCAGAGATTCTCAGAGAGGAGAGTGAAGAAGCAGGTTTTGAGCATTCCCTTAATTTCCAACTTCCTGGCAGCCAGGGCGAAAAGGAAAATAAGGAAATTTGGGCCATTTTCTTGGCCTAGTCGAAGGAAGTTTAAAAGCTCATCTAAAGAATTTTTTTTTCCTGTTCTAAAATCCCACTGGGAATTTATGTTATTTGATGGAACTACTAATCTATGTAGCTGGGAGGCAACAATCTCCATCATCAGGCTGTTTGGATTCAAATTGTGGATCCACCGTGTACCAGCTGTGAGATCTTGGATAAGTCACTTCACCTCCCTGATTGTGAGCTGTCGTCTGTAAACCTCATAGGTGGTTGAAAGGATTAAATATGTGAAAAGTCTTAATTTAAGGCCTGGTGCCTGGGTGAGGATGAGCATGAGAATGATGATATAATGCTTGGGATCCAGGGACCAGAGTGCGAATCTTGGTTCTGCCAGTGTGACTGTGTGACCCTGGACACAATCCTACTCTCTAGTCTCTCAGCTTTCCCACCTCTAACACAGGAGGGTTAGAATTGCTAAGTCGGGGTTATGTCTGTGGCTCAGTGGCAGGACACTTGCCTAGTATGTGTGAGGCCCTGGGTTCAATCCTCAGCACCACATAAAGATAAATAAATAAACAAATGGTGTCCATCTACAACTAAAAAATATTATTTAAAAAAAAAAAAGAAAAGAAAAAGAATTGCTAGGATTCCCTGATTCTTGAGGAACTCTAGGTGTTCCTGAGTCCCCTCCTTATCCTACATATAAGCCTCTTCAGCATTTGTTAATGAACCTGAAGTAGGAGAAGGTCATGTGGGCTGGGCTGGGAATCCCTGGGACTATTGCACATGGAGACTTAGCACATGCTCAGGAGGGTAGCACAGCCTGAGCATGCTTTTTTGTGAGCATCCTTAGGAAGACAGCTTTGTGGTCCAGGAAGGCTTGCCTGCAACTGTACAGACGAAGCTCCCTTGAAGCTAAGGAGCAAACTCTTTTAGTGATGGGGTCTGAGCTTCCTAATAACCTAGCAAAAAGGGGGAGAAAATGAGTGTTGGAGTGTAGCTCCGTGGTTGAGTACTTGCCTCACATGCACAAGGCCCTGGATTTAATTTTCAGCACTGCAAGGAAGGAAGGAAGAGGCTGGGGGAGGGGGAGGGAGGGAGGGTGGAAGGGAGGAGAAGTGCTCTTATTAAAAGCTCAGATAATTTCCACAAACTGAACACCCCTGTGTAATCAGCACCGGGATCAATAAACAGAGCATGACCCACCCCCAGAAATTCCCCCCTTGTGTTCCCTTCTACTCACCATCTGGACTTCTAAAAGAATAGACTAGTTTTGCCTGTTCAGCTGTAAAGACTTCTAAATACCATTTCCCCACAAAATGTAAAAATCTCATCTTTTTCTTAAGATCTTATTGCATAGTTGTTGTAAATAACAAATAACTACAACAAAATCTCTGAGCAGCATTGCATAAAGATATAAAGAAGAAAAGTCAGGATTACAAAATCATGTAGTGAGCCACCATTTACTTTTAGAGTGAGTGTACCTATCTATTACAACATAATAAAATACATATAATAAAGAACAGTGTGTGTGTGTGTGTATATATATACACACACACACACACACACACATACCCATTAAACACATTTTAATCCCCAGCACTTATGATTTAAGTCATTTCTAAACTTATAAACAATGAGCTAGCAGGGTACAGTGGTGTGTAGTCCCAGCTACTTGGGAATCTGAGACAGAAGAATCCCTTGAGCCCAGGAGTTCAAGGCCAGCCTGGGCAAGGGTGAAACCCTATCTCAAAAATAAATAAGAAAGAAACATTGAGACAATGAACATCTTCGTGAATCAAACTTAACTTTCTTAATATATTATTTTTTTCAAATAAATTTCAGAGTAAAAATGTATCTAATGGTAACTAGATTTGCTTTGTACTGTTTCATTTAATTGCCTCAATAACCCACTGAGGTAGGGACAGCCCTTGTGCCTGATCCGTACTTTAGGACCATTCAGGTCCTGCTTACGGTTGCTCCCCAGCCACTTTGATCTGTGACCACAGCCTGTGCCCTCTCCCTCCTCATCCGTGTCCCCATCCCCATCCTAGATCAAGGAGCTGCAGCTGGTGCTGGCCGAGGCCCATGACAGCCTCCGGGGCTTGCAGGAGCAGCTCTCCCAGGAGCGGCAGCTACGGAAGGAGGAGGCTGACAGCTTCAACCAGAAAATGGTCCAGGTGGGCAGTGCCCGGTCTTCCTGCACCTACTCCATCTGCTCCCAGCACTGAAGGCCGAGGGGCTGGGGCATGGCTCAGTGGTAGATCATGTGCCTAGCATGAGTGAGACCCTGAGTTCCATCCCTAGCACCACAAACTTGAAGGCGGGGTCTTTGGGGGTCCATGGGTCCTCAGAAGATGAGATGGTCAGAGGAAACTCAAGTCTTCCAGTCCTGGTCCCCTGCCAGGGCAATTCCTGCTTGTGATTGGACATCAGCTGAGCTGGGCTGGAGTCTTGGGTGTGTTGTTGGCTGCCTGTGTGACCTTGGGCCAGTTCTGTTTCCACTCAGGCCCTCTTTCCCATCTGTGAAATGGGAAATGCCTGCTTTGGGCCTGGCTGGTAATCAGGGTGGTAGTTTGTTGACAGCACTTGTGAAGCCCTGACTGTAGCCAGACCATGTAACACACTTTCCATACCTTCTGTGCTTTAATCCTGTGACTTCCCCCAGAAGGTGTCCCCCCATTTTACTTATGGGGAAACTGGGGCTCAGAGAGCAGAAACGCTTTATTCAGGCCTCTGCAGGGTAAAGGGGTGCTGGGATTCTAACCCAGGGCTCTGGCTCTCTCTTCACCACGACCCAGCATGAGTGTTTCATATTCCTCAGCCTTCCTGGGCCCCAGGATGCCCTTTGCCCTCCCTGGGTCACCCCTCCCTGTCATTATCGCACACCCCCACAGATTCCTTGTTCAGTGTGAGAGTTCAGGAGAAACATCCAGCGCTCCACAGGTGCTCAGGGAATGATGAGGATGGTTTTTTAGTTGGACCATGCTGGTTTAAATCCCTGCTCCTCCCCTGGGTTGCTGTTGCTTTTATGAGTTACTCTTCCATGGATAAAATGAGCTGCTTGTGGTGGAATTTCTGGCAGGGATCACCAACAGACCCACCCAGTTCTCCCCCTGCCCTTGACCTGGACCTGGAGTGGGCTGGGAGTGGTGGGACCCTGAACTGGCCTTGCTCAATCTCCTGTCCCCGGCAGCTGAAGGAGGACCAGCAGAGGGCGCTGCTGAGGCGGGAGTTTGAACTGCAGAGTCTGAGCCTCCAGAGGCGGCTGGAGCAGAAATTCTGGAGCCAGGAGAAAAACATGCTGGTGCAAGAGTCCCAGCAGTTCAAGCACAACTTCCTGCTGCTCTTCATGAAGCTCCGGTGGTTCCTGAAGCGCTGGCGGCAGGGCAAGGTCTTGCCCCACGAGGGGGATGACTTCTTGGAGGTATGGTTGGGCTTGGGCCTCAGGGGAAGGTAGGGGGAAAGGAACATGGGAGGCGAGGAACATAGCACTTCATGTTCATATTCACATGTTTGTAGGGGAAATCAGTGTGCTCCAGTCCCTACTGGGGCTGTGACATAATACATGTAGGACATGTTATATCTTTCTAGATCCTGAAACCTCAGTTCCCAGCACACCTGAAGGCTGGGGTGTAGCCCAGTGGTAGAGTGTTCTTAGAACGAGCAAGGCCCTGGGTTCCATCCCCAGCACCCAAAAAGAAGAAAAATAAAAACAGACACACACCTGGCCCCAAGGATTCCAGAGAACAGGGTGTACCCCATGTATGTGTAGATCATCAAAAGTCTCTAGGTATCCATCCCTGTGACCAGGGTAGGAACTGAGCTGTTGATCCCTGTAGACTTGCTCCCCCAGCATTCTTCCCAGCCTCACTGTGTTCCCAGATGAGTGGCGCTTGGAGACCTCCTTTGTTTTAGTCAGCTTTCCCTCGATGTGACCAAAATGCCTGAGAGTAACGATTTAGAGAAGGAAAATTTGTTTGGGGCTCCCGGCTTCAGAGGTCTCAGTCCATGGATGACTGACTCCATTGGTTTGGGCCCAAGGTGAGGTAGAACATCGTGGCTGAAGGGCGTGGCGGAGGTCGACTGCTCAGCTTACGGCAGCTGAGAAGCAAAGAAAGGGAAGAGAAAGGGTGGAAGGGACTGCAGGGAAGATGCACCCTTCCAGGGCACCCCTCTCCTCCCCGTGCCCACCTCCCCCAGCCACGCCCACCTGCCTGCAGTGCCGGTTAGTGGGGACACTTGATTCCAAACTGCAATATCCTTCATTTCATTTCTAGGACAGCAAGCTCTGGGTTTTCCTTCTACCTCTCTGGCTTCTTCTTATTTCCCTGACCTCACCTTGCTTTTAATTTTTCTCTTTGGTGGTCCTGGGCACTGAATCCAGAGCCTTGCACATGAGGTGCTCTGTCGCTGAGCTCCTCCCCCCCAGTGAGGACATCCTTCCACCCCTTGCAAGCTCACAGTCCCCAGGACTCAGTCCTTGGCCTCCGTTTCTCCTGTACCTGCTCTGACTGCCTTGGGGAGTTCATCCAGGCTTCACTGGCCATTCTTGGACATTGAGTTCCCAGTGTATACGTCCTGTCCAGGTGTCGCTCATGGACCCTAGATGTGTATTGTCCGTGGGACAGATCCACATGGCTTTGCAAACCTTATGTCCAAAACCAAACTCAGGCTCCTCCTCCAGCCCTGCTCACCCAGTGGGTCAGTTCCTCTTGTTCAGACAAGAGCTGTGGCAGCATCCTCTGCCCTGCTCTTTCCCTCACACCTCGTCTAATCTGTCCACCTCTCCAGAGTCTGAGCCATCCTCCACTGCCCTCTGACCAAGCCGTCGTCACTTCCTGCCTAGATTCTGGCCCTTGCCTCCTGTCTGGTCTCCCTGCTTCTCCTTGACACCCTCCCACCAAGCATCTTGTGCTCAGAGGGTGCCAGGCGGAGCCACGCCCTTGTATGCCCTGTGAACGGTGCCCCTGCAGCTGTGCAGCATGGCTCCAGCTGCCCCAGTCACCGTGGTTATTTCTGAGTAACTCTTCAGGATGCTTCATGGTCCTTGGGGCAGAAAAGATATTATGGGTCACGCTGCTTGGCCTGGACAGTGCCCAGAGATCAAAGTTAAGGTCTGGGAAGTCAGTGAGGACATCCTCCCACCCCTGGTTGAGTGTGGTTTTTACCAACAGGTGAACAGCATGAAGGAGCTGTACCTGCTGGTGGAGGAGGAGGAGATCAGCGCCCAGCATTCTGATAACAAGGCCTGCGCAGGAGACGGCTGGACCCAGAACACGGTGCGTTCTCAGCCCTTCCCGGCTCTGTTCCTTTGCCCATTCAATATCCCTTTCCAGGATGTGGCTGAGGCTCAGTGGTAGAGCACTTGCCCAGCATGTGTGAGGCCCTGGGTGTGAGGCACTGGGTGTGGCCCTCAGCCCTGCATACAAATAAATAAACAAAATAATCACTTTCTATCACTTCCTCTGACTTCAGCCCTGCACTGGACACTAGAGCTGCAAAGGTTGTTCTTGCCTGGTCACTGCCCTCCTGTTCTCTATCCTTTGTGGCACACAGATCATTCCAGGGCAGTGACAGAAGGCAGGTGGTGGACCATGGGGTCACAAGCAAGAGACTAATTAGTTCTATTTGGAGCAGAAGAGGATATTATCACAGAAAAGGGGTTATGAATGGTGGGTTTTGAAGGATGAATAGGAGCTTGCCTACTAGAGAACGGAGAGAAGTCACTCTAAATACATAGAACTGTGTGTGTGGAGGTGTGGCAAGGTGTTCTGGAATTGGCTGTGGCTTGGGAGGTATATAATGGGGTAAAGCTCTCAAGCTCGGCTCCTATGAAGAGGGGCCTTGGGGCTGGGGCTCAGTGGTAGGGCACTTGCCTAGCACCTGTGAGGCACTGGGTTTGATCCTCAGCACCATGTAAACAAATAAAATAAATAAAAGAGGGGTCTTTATGGTCTGGGACTAAGGACTCTCTGATCCAACCACATATCAGAGAGAAGAGGAGATTCAGACTTCTAGAGCCACACACAGTGAGCTGGGTATGGGTGGGAAATGGGGTCGTGGGCCTAAGAAAGAAGATTTGGAATTGGGTTCAGCACAGTTAGGGAGGCTCCTTGGAGGCCTCCAGTGGGTAGATCCCGAGTGAGGCTAGAGGCTGCAGAACCTCGAGGAGGCCAGATTTTTCAGCTCAATTTAGGTGGAATAGTTACTACTGTGACTGCGGGAGTCTGTTCCTGTGAGGCTGCCCAGGAGGGAGCCAGGGCTGGGCTCATCCTGGAGGAGACCTGCTGGAGGCCCAGGGAGCCCCCAGCTGGGTTCCTTCCCACCCCCCACGCTGCTGACCCAGGCCTTCCCTGTCTGCAGCCCAACGAGTACATCAAGACCCTGGCCGACATGAAGGTGACGCTGAAGGAGCTGTGCTGGCTGCTCCGCGATGAGCGCCGGGGTCTCACCGAGCTTCAGCAGCAGTTCGCCAAGGCCAAGGCCACCTGGGAGACAGAGCGGGCGGAGCTCAAGGGCCACGCCACCCAGGTGAGCCCTCCCCAGACACGTCTTCTGCCTCTGGTCCTCAGCCAAGCCCACAGCTGTCAGGTCTGGAACAGGACGCCCAAGCCACCTCCTGGAGGGACAGGAGCCCCTCCCTTCACCTTGTCACCCAGAGAGGACAGAGGCTTACCTAGAATCATCCAGCACGGGGACCAAGATAGTGGGGTTCAGGGGTCAGTGGGCCAGGGAAGGAAGATGGAAGATTGGCAGGCACCTCTGCCCCTCTGCTCCCGGGTGACATGCCTGATTTGTACCCAGTGCGGTCCCCGAAATGCCTGGTCTCTCATTGCTGCCGTCCTTATTTGCTGCCTCCTACCTGAGCGGACCCCTGATACCTGGCTGTGGTTTGCTCCCTCCACTCAAAGTGGGAGCCTCCCCTACCACAGCCCAGCTGGACCAAAGGAACTTAAATAGGATCCCTGGGATTTGGGTATCTGCTTTGTGTGTGGGGACAAGTTGCTGCCCTACTATGGTCTGAAAAATGAGAAGGGTGGGCCTCCCACCTGGAGAGAATGCTCTGACTCCACAGTGTGGGGCTGGGCTCCCTCTTCCTCCACCCTGTCCCTGTTGCAGGCCGACTTCCTGGGCATTGCCACCTCTGGGAGGTGGTACTCAGATGATCTCTGCAGGACACATGACAAAACAGGCACAGAGAGGTTGAGTCCCTGTCTTGTATCACCCAGGGCAGACCTGACCTTGCACCCCGACTCCTGACTTCTTCCTGGGCCCTCCGATCCCTCCTAGGCCTCCTGCAGACCTCCCAGCTCCTGCTCATCTGCATATTCCAGTGTCCTTTGCCCTGCTGTGCCCCCAAGCTCAGCCATTCCAGGGCTCGACTCCCTGACCATAGCCTGGCAGGTGGGAGGCATTGAATCATGAGCTGGATACAGGTGTGCATCATCCTGCCCCCCTGAGGTCTGCGGCCAAGAAAGGCATCATGCAGAGTGATTTCTGCTTATGTGCATGTGTGTGCATGTCCCCATGCAAGGCCCATGAGGGACAGGTGAGGTTCAGCTTTCCAGGAGTGGAGCTAAAACACAACCCCATTAACCAGAACCTGCAATGTACCTAAGAGTAGATAAATACCGTGACAAGCGATAACTGGGAACCGGCTACGTGACCTGGGACAAAACTGACTTGACCCCCTTAGAACCTCTTCCTCTGAAAAACACGAAGTGGTAGTTAAATTGCAGAGAAAATGACTGAAAACCCCACAGTGCAGCTTGGCTGGTGGGAAGAGCGCCACACCGTCCTGCGAGGAGGGCTGGTTGTGAGGGGGAGGTCACCGAAGGCTTCCCAGGGGATGGCCCCCAAGGAGCCTCTCTCCCCTTCCCCTGCTGGTGCCCAGGAAGGGAGGAGGGAGAGTAGAGGGGCCCGAGGTGCCTGCTGCCCAGACTGCTCCCACCCACAGATGGAGCTGAAGGCCGGGAAGGGGCCCGGGGAGCGGGCAGGGCCTGAGTGGAAGGCGGCCCTGCAGAGGGAGCGAGAGGAGCAGCAGCACCTCCTGGCCGAGTCCTACAGCGCAGTCATGGAGCTCACACGGCAGCTGCAAATCAGCGAGCGCAACTGGAGCCAGGAGAAGCTGCAGCTGGTGGAGCGGCTGCAGGGGGAGAAGCAGCAGGTGGAGCAGCAGGTGAAGGAGCTGCAGAACCGCCTGAGCCAGGTGAGGCTGGCCCCAGCTTAGGCTGATTTGAACCACAAGGGAGAGTCACTATAGGATAAGTTCATGGGTAGCATCTCCTTCAGGTATAGCTGGATCCAGGTGCTCAGACAATGAAGTCTAGAATCTCTTTCAGATATAGCTAGAACCTTGTGTTTAGAGATTGCAGTAAGATCTAGGTCTCTCTCTGCCTCAGTCTTTCAGGACTGCTTTCCTCTTGTTAGCTTTTTAAAAAAAAAAAAAATTATTTTCTAGGTGTAGATGGACACAACACAATGCCTTTATTTTTATGTGGTGCTGAGGATCTAACCCTGGTCCAACCCGTGCTAGGTGAGCGCTCTACCACTGAGCCACAATCGCAGCCCTCTTGTTAGCTTTACTCTGGTTTTGTTTTGTTTGGTAATAGGAATTGAACCCAGTGGTACTTAACCTTTGAGTCACAGCCTCAGACTGTTTTTTTTTTTTGGGGGGGGGGGTTGTTTATTTTATTTTATTTTGAGACAGGGTCTTGCTAAGTTACTTAGAGTCTCACTAAGTTGCTGAGGCTGGCGTCAAACTTGCAATCTTCCTGCCTCAACCTCCCAAACTGCTGGGATTGCAGGCATGTGCCACCACACCCAGCCGCTTTACTCTTTTAATAAATTTTACTTTGAAACACAGTCTGGCTAAGTCGCCAAGGCTGACCTCAGACTTGTAAGTCTCCTGCCTCAGCCTCTGGTAGCTGGCATAGGCCACCGTGTCCAGCTTGTGTACACTTTACTCTTAAGCAAGCTATTTCCAAATATGACCACTCTCAGTTTTATACGCGTACCTTACAGTTTAGCAATCGCAATTGGAAAGGTTTCTTTCCCACAAGTTTCTGATTGGCCAGGTGTGAATCATGTGCCCCACACCAAGGAACCAAGAGGGAGGAGTAAGAGTGATTCCCATGGGGAAATTGTAGTCCTTAGACTAAAATGGTGGGTGGAGAGGTGGGGTGGGGGGGATGAAAAACAGCCAGTGAGCAGTAAGCTCCTCTATGCTTCGTGTCATGTGCCCGGCACACCTGTCATCCTGTGTACTGTTTGTTTTGACTTTTTTCTTTTCTTCTATTTTTTTATTTTAATAACAGCACTCAGTACTTCATCTTCATATAAGAATATTGCCCAGTGTGGTGGCCTAGCCCTGTATCCCAGCCACTTGGGAGGCTGAGGCAGGAGGATCACAAGTTCAAAGCCAGCCTCAGCAAGGGCAAGGCTCTAAGCAACTCAGTGAGCCCGTCTCTAAATAAAATACAAAATAGGGCTGGGGATGTGGCTCAGTGGTCAAGCGCCCCTGGGTCAATCTCTTGTACCAGAAAAAAAAAAAAAAAGCCGGGGGAGGGGGTTGTGGATGTAGTTCAGTGGTTGAATGCTTTAGCAGGCATGAGGCCCTGGGTTCAATCCCTAGTACCACAGAAGAAAAGGGAAAGGGGGCCAAATGTTACAAAGCCTATTCTCTCCCTTTCTTGATATTTAAACAATTTATATTCAGAGTTTCATTTCCATTTTTGATTAATCGAATCATAATGCACAAGTTATTTGCACTTTGCCTCTTTCATGGAGAGCTGTTCACAACAGGCTAGGGGAGGCCTCATCTCGTCTGACTGCTGCTTGACCTTCTGAGCATGGGGACACCAGAATTTAGTATTCCATATCGACAAGATCTAGATTGTTTCCAGTTTTTCTCTATTTAAAGTAGTGCCCCAGTGAATAACCCCAATGCACATTTTTCCACACATGCATGAACATTTCAATAGCATAGATCACTAGAGGTGAAATTGCTGTGTTCAAGGGCATGCGCATTTATAGTTGATGGGAACTGCCCAGCCAGCCCTCCAGAAAGGCTTCACCCAGTTGCACTCCACCGGGAGCACAGTGAGAAGGGCCTGTTTTGCTTTATCTTTGCCATTTTGAAACATCTGTTTATCTCCAGGTGTACATGCTGTCTTACTGTTTTAATTTGCCTTTCTCTGATTCCTGATGCGGGCCTGCATCATGATGATCATTTGCATTTCCTCTCCTACTGCTGTCTCCAATCCTCCAGCAGCCCTGCAAGGTCACAGTCACTAACTCCCTTTTTCAGATGAGGAAACTGAGGCAGAGTGATATGTCCAAAGTCATAAAGTGAGTAAGGGACAGGCCTGGAATCTAGCAAAACTCTCACATCTGGCAAGTTCCACTCCTGGGCCCTGACTCCTTCCCTGCAGAGATAGAGATCCCCTGAGGGTCATACCCACTAAGGAGCTTGTGCATGGTGAGTGGAGGATGGCACGCTAACATGAATTCCAGAACATTCCATGTACCATGTGGAAAGCAGGTCAGATGCATCCATTTGCACCATCAAACCAAATTCCTGTCTGTAGGAAAGCAGTTTCTTTTAATTATATTAACAATAGGATATTTTAAATGATTTTAAAATTATGAGATAAGTTCCATAACATACCTGGGGAAACATATCGGCCCACAGGCCAGGCACACTAAGGTGCTACTCAGCTAGCTGATCCATGAACTGCAGCATGAATTAACAGCAATAATGGTTACTATATTAGATATAATGACATCCATCAGGATGCCTGCAAGAAATTGCTCTTATTATCATTTTCCAATCCAACTCAGGTAGCTCAGAGCTGCTACCCTCTAGAAGGAACCTTCTGGCTCCTGGCCCATGATGCTCCTCCCAGCTGCAGGGCAGAGCCCAGGATGTGGTCCTGCTCTGGGCCTCTGCTCACTCATGCCCATCACTGATGCGTACTCTTTGCCCTTGCTCAGCTGCAGAAGGCTGCCGACCCCTGGGTCCTGAAGCACTCAGACCTCGAGAAGCAGGACAACAGCTGGAAAGAGGTGAGGGTCACCCGTGTTGTCTGGGCTCCTGGCTGGGCCATAAATTCTTTGCTTGTGGGGATGTGATAGGAGGATGTTAACCCTATCCCACAGGTTACATAGCCTTGCACCTCAGGCATCTCAGGCCCTGGGGCCCCTATGCCTCATGGGTCCTCCCCATGGTTTGGGACTTGGGAAGTGTCCTCTGTCAGGGTTGTGATTCCCAGCCTGGGAGAAACCCCCAGCCTCTCTTGCTTTCGCCTGTGCATCTGTGGAAAGCAGGTGTGGAGATCGGTAAGATCACATTGGTGAAGTCTGCACTTAAGGCTCAGGGGCACTGTCAGAGAGCAGCTTGCTGAGTAACCAAAGGCAGTGAGTGTACGGCTGTTTGCATCACTCTAGTTCATGACCACCAGAGGAAGTGGGGCGCCACTTAGGAGGCTTGATTGCAAACAATGAACACTGATTCTGGGGAACTGAGGGGGAGGATCTCAAGGGGGGCTCACCAGGGCTGGCAGCCAAGGAAGGCAGTTGTGATAACTGGTGCAGGTGCTGGGAATTGTGCCTCTAGAACCAGAATGGACAAGCCCAGGCAGTAGCTGCATGGTCACTGCTGTCACCATGAGTAGTCTTTCTTGTTTTTTTCTTTTTGGTGTTTTTTTTTTKGGGGGGGGTCACTGTTGACAGTACAGTTAGCACAGCGTGTGTCACATTCTTATGGTGGGGGAGGTACATGCAGAGCCGCCAGAAACTTGACCAACAGTTGTTCTGGATCATTGCTGACATCATTGCTGCTCTTCAGATGAGAAGTCAAGTGTGGAGGGCCTCTAGTCACCTTCCTTCTGCATGCTGGTGGCCAGAGTTGACCTTTCCTGTCTCTTCTTTGACAGACGCGCAGTGAGAAGATCCACGACAAGGAGACGGTTTCCGAAGCTGAGCTGGGGGGAACCGGCTTAAAGAGGTGCTGGCAGCCCCACCCTGCCCGCCCCTTTGCCCCTCTCCTCTCTTGCCCCCTGTGCCCACCCCTGCGCCCCATCAGAATTGGGAGAGCAGCAGGATGTGGTCATAACCCAAGTCACTCAGGAGCTGGAAAGCCCGGGGCCTGGGGGATTCCAGACTGCAGCTTGATGTGTGTTTCTTTGGAATACCAGGGCTCCAGCGCATCCTAGCTGGTTCTGTTTTCTGTCTCTGGGTTAGGAGAGTCACCATGGACATCCATTCCTGGGGCTCTGAGCAGCATCCATTGGGCCAGTCACATGCTGTGACCAAGGGGACTCCCCTAGACTAGTAGGACTTTGTCTCTACCTTTAGGAAACACATGAGATAGGGAAATGGAGCCTCACAGGAGCCACACAGAGTAGCCCAGAAGCAAGGAGGCCCCAGGCTCCAGGTGGGCACTGGAGCCAGAGGCTGGCTTTGAATTCCAGCTGTGTGGCTTCTAGTCTATGACTTTCGGCAGCTCCTCCCTGCCCACTCTTTCCCTCGGTCTCTTCCCACCGTCTCGACGGCTTCCTCTAGAGCTGTCCGAGTCGTCCAGTTTGTGTGATGTACTAACACATGACTGGTACTTCAGGCCTCCAGGTAACATGTGCCCGGTCTGTGCTGGGATTTTTAAAATATTATATTTTAAAAACGTGTATTAACACGTTAATTGTAGAAATAGGTGTTGATCACATCCGTCCACCCTTCTTCTACCTCTCCTCCTCCCACTCCTCTCTCTCTCTTACCCGTGGCTCCCTTCCCAATCCCTAGTAAGCCCTCGTCTACTTTCAGGCGGGTTTTTTTCTTCTTCTTTTTAGTTTCCACATAAGAGAGAAAATATGCAATACTTGTTTTTCTGTGTCTGACTTGTTTCACTTAACATGATATCCTCCTATTCCACCCATTTTCCTGCAAATGATAGGATTTTATTTTTCCTTATGACTAATTAATACTCCATGGTGTATATATACCATAATTTTCTTTATCCACTCATCTGTTGATGGGCACCTAGGCTGGCCCTTATCTTAGCCGTGGTGAATGATGCTTCAGTGAATGTGGGTCTGCAGGTATCTCTTTTGTATTCTGGCTTCATTTCCTTTGGCTGTATACTCAGGAGTGGGATAGCTGGATCATAGGGTAGTTCTATTTTTAGAAGCACGTGGGCATGCACGTGCCTTAGTGTGTGTGTGTGTGTGTGTGTGTGTGTGTGTGCGCGCGCGCGTGTGCGCGCATGCGCGCGTTGCTGGCAACTAAATCCAGGGCCTGGTGCATGCTAAGCAAGTGCTATGGAGTTAAGCTACCTCTACCCCAGCCACAGTAGTTCTATTTTTAGTTTTTCTGAATATCTTCTATTATTGTTTTCCATAGTGACTGTTTAATTAGGTTCCTATCAACAATGTATAAGGGTTCCTTTTTCCCTATATTCCCAGCAGCATTTATTGATTTTTTTTTATAATAGCCATTCTAACTGGAATGAGGTGGATCTCATTGTAGTCTTGATTTGCCTGATGGTTCATGCTATTGAACATTTTTTCCCCATATTTATTAGTCATTTGCATTTTTTTCTTATAAGAAGTGTCTATTCAGATCATTTGCCCATTTTTTTCACCAGATTACTTGTTCTGTTATTTTACTTGTTTTTACATATTTTTGATATTAATCCTTGTCAAATGAGCAGCCTACAAGGATTTTCTCCCACTCTGGGTTGTGTATTATTTTCTTTGCTCTTGCACAAGCTTTTAAATTCAATGTAATTCCATTCGTCAATTCTTGCTTTTGTTTCCTGTGCTTTTAGAGCCCTATCCAGGAAATCATGGCTTGTGCCAATATCTTGAAGTGTTTCCCCTGTGTTTTCCTCTAGTAGTTTCAGAGTTTCAGGTCTTACTTTAAGGTCTTTGATCCATTTTGAGTTGATTTTTTTGTCCAGGATGAGAAATAGGATCAAATTCGATCTTCTACTTACAGATCTTCTGTTTTCCTAGCAATATTTGCTGAACAGACTGTCCTTTCTCTAATGATGTTTTGGGCACCTTTATTGACAATCAGTTGACTAAAGATGTGTGGACTCATTTCTGGATTCTCTATGCTATTTTATTTCGTCTGTGCTTCTGTTTGTGTTGAAGATTTAATGGCATCTAAGTTTGGGTTCCCCCAGAAGCAAACCCTGAGATGAGGGTTTATATGAAAATATCTATTTGGGAGAAGATTCCAGGAAATACCTAAAAGTAAGACAGGAAGAGGAAAGCAGCCAGTTAAAGCAGTTCCCACCCACCAGGGAGGTAGGCCAGGGTGTGCGCCATCTGTTATTTCCCTCTAACGCCGTTTTTCCTCCTCTGCTCTTCCCAGGACCAAATCTGTTTCCTCCATGTCTGAGTTTGAAAGTTTGCTTGACTGTTCCCCCTACCTTGCTGGTGGAGATGCCCGAGGCAAGAAACTGCCCAACAACCCTGCCTTTACCTTTGTGAGTACTGAGACGGTGGATCCAGAGAAAGATACCAAGGAAAAGGCAGGGCTCACGCCTCAGGACTCCAACCGCCTGGGTGCGCTGGGCTGCCAGGACCCTGCAGGGAGACACATGCAGCGCAGCTACACGGCTCCAGACAAGACAGGCATCCGAGTCTACTACAGTCCCCCAGTGGCCCGGCGCCTGGGTGTCCCTGTGGTCCATGACAAGGAGGGCAAAATCCTCATTGAGCCCGGCTTCCTCTTCACCACAGCCAAGCCCAAAGAATCAGCGGAGGCCGACGGGCTGGCCGAGAGCTCCTACAGCCGGTGGCTGTGCAACTTCTCGCGGCAGCGCCTGGATGGGGGCTCAGCAGGCAGCGCCTCGGCAGCCGGGCCCGCCTTCCCCGCGGCCCTGCATGACTTTGAGATGTCGGGCAACATGAGCGATGACATGAAGGAGATCACCAACTGCGTGCGACAGGCCATGCGCTCGGGCTCGCTGGAGAGGAAAGTGAAAAGCACATCCAGCCAGACGGTGGGCCTGGCCAGCGTGGGCACACAGACGATCCGCACGGTCAGCGTGGGCCTGCAGACTGACCCGCCCCGCAGCAGCCTGCACAGCAAGAGCTGGTCACCCCGCAGCTCGTCGCTGGTGTCCGTGCGCAGCAAGCAGATCTCCTCCTCCCTGGACAAGGTCCACTCCCGCATCGAGCGGCCCTGCTGCTCGCCCAAGTATGGCTCGCCAAAGCTCCAGAGGCGCTCGGTGTCCAAGCTGGACAGCACCAAGGACCGCAGCCTCTGGAACCTGCACCAGGGCAAGCAGAATGGCTCGGCCTGGGCTCGCTCCACCACCACGCGGGACAGCCCGGTGCTGAGGAACATCAACGACGGGCTGTCCAGCCTCTTCAGTGTGGTGGAGCACTCAGGGAGCACGGAATCTGTGTGGAAGCTGGGCATGTCCGAGACCCGGGCCAAGCCCGAGCCTCCCAAGTACGGCATCGTGCAGGAGTTCTTCCGCAACGTGTGTGGCCGCGCCCCGAGCCCCACGGCGGCCGCGGGAGAGGAAGGCGCCAAGAAGCCCGAGCCCCTCTCCCCGGCCAGTTACCATCAGCCGGAGGGCGTGGCCAGGATCCTGAGCAAGAAGGCCACCAAGTCAGGCAGCAGCGAGGAGGCCAGAGCCACCCTGCTTCCCCAGGTGGGGAAGGACGGTGTGCCCCGGGAGGGCGATGGCACCTCGATTCTTCCCAATGAGGTAGGTGGGTGGAGTTTGCCCTTTTTCTTGGGAGCGGGATTGGCTTCCAGGGTCCAATCTCACGTGGATTTTGTGTGTGTGTGTGTGTGTGTGTGTGTACAGGAAATTGAATCCATGGGTGCTATACTACTGAAGCACATCCCCAGACCTCTTCATATTTTATTTTGAGACAGTCTCCCAAAGTTGCTTGGGGCCTTGCCTAGTTACCAAGGCTGGCTTTGAACTCAAGATCCTACTGCCTCAGCCTCCCCAGACTCTGGGATTACAGGCTTGCACCACAGCACCCCCCACTGAGCTACATGCCCAACCCTTTAAATTATTGGATACTGGAGCTTGAACTAGGGGTGCTGCACCCCTGAGACACATCCTTGCCTCTTTTTACTTTTTATTTTGAGACAGGGTCTTGCTATGTTGCCAAGCCTGGCTTCAAATTTTTGATCTTCCTGCCTTAGCCTCCCAAGTAGCTGCACCACAGTGCCTAGCTCTTTTGTTTTTTTTTAATTCAAGAAATATAGTCGTATGTGTATGTCTCAAATACTTCTTATGGTCTGACATGGGGATGGATGTCCCAGACCTGGAACAACACAAACCTGGAGACCACATGGTCTGAATGCCAAGAGACTAGTAAGTGGTTTAACCAGGGGTTTGACTACTACACAGCAGAGACCTCCAGCATCCTCCAGGGAAAGGGTGTGCCCGTAGCTCTCTTGCCCTCACTAGTTAGTATGTTGTGTGGCTTGTTAGGCTTGGGAGAGCCAATTGTAAGTATTATTAAATATTAGCTTGCCTAGGCATGCCTATAATCCCAGTGACTTGGGAGACTGGGGCAAGAGAATTGCAAGTTTGAGGCCAGTCTCAGCAACTTATAGAGGCCCTAAGCAATTTAGCAAGACCCTGTCTCAATATTAAAATTGAAAAGGGCTGGGGATATGGCTCAGTGGTAAAGCACCCCTGGGTTAAACCCCTGGTAGCAAATATGAATATATATATATTTGCCTGAGCCAGGTGCTATGGCACAATCCTGTGATCCCAGCTTTTTAGAAATTGAGGCCACAGGATTGCAAGTTCAAGGCTAGTCAGGACAACTTAGTGAGACCCTATCTCAAAAAATAAAAAGGGGTGAGGGATGTAGCTCAGGGGTAAAGTGCCCCTGGGTTTAATTCTCATTGCCGGGACAAAACAAAACAAAACATTAACCTGCCTACCAGCCCAGCAAGACTTCACAACTAGGTGCTCATATTGTCTCTGTGAATATTTTCTGGATGCCCCCCTTCTGATATCAGTTTTGATAAGTCAGGGATTACTTGACTATTAGCAAAGGAGGCATGGAAGTTAGCATTGCAGAGGAGAAGGAAACCTCTCTGAAGAATGATGGAGTACTTACTGCATGGAACCCAAGAGCAGAGACTGAAGGGCTAGCAGCTTCTCCCTGTCTCCCTCTCCTATATTTTGAGCCTTATTTGCTCCTATGTCCTCTTCCTCCTTCTCATTCTTTTTGTTGTATTTGCACAAGGACCATGTGAGCTCTTTCAGCTCTTGATATACCACATCTTTCAGTTCAAGCACCTAAGAGACACTGATTCGAGCCTGTTATACAAATTCCACATTTCCAGGAGGAAGAACCTCTGATTGGTCCAGCATGGGTCAGGTGTACCCCTTGGTCCAGTCAGCTTTGGCCAGGGGTCCACGGGGTCTGCTCTGGGCTCAGAGGAGATAGGGACACAAAATACTGTGTGAGATGGCTGGGACTGGCCCAAAAGGTCAGCTTCCCTATTATTGTATATTTAGGTGGTTTCTAGTTTTTCCCTAATGTAAATGGTGCTGTGGTGAATATCTTGGTGCAAAATTTTTTTTTTTTTTTTTTTTTTT